ATGGTTTTTGACTAACCTGAAAGAGCTTGCCAGGTGCTGGAGGTTTTCTATTTGCATCTGGGTTCACAAACTTAACTTTAGGGGGTTAGGTTTAAAAAAAAAATTCTTGGAAGTCGTTGATGGTATCTTTACATATATTTAAATAGAGAGGTTTAATGCCAAAAATACAATCCCGCTTTTCTTAAAGTAGTATAATATTTTTCACTCCTAGGAGAACAGAAGTTTTTTAATTTGAGATTCTCCCCCTCATACAYCTTTCTCCCCAGTCCCCCAGCATCCTGGATAAGATTTTTTGTGCCAAATAGAGTAACAGAAATGATAAAATACATCAGTGGAGGGGACAAAATTCTGAAGTACATCTCTACACTTTACCCTGCTATTAGTAATAGTAGGCAATTGCCCTCTAAGTAGGCAATAATGATTAGTTATAGTCCCTTTTCATATTCATGTGCTTATTTTGCTAAATATTTTTTGCTAGGTAGATAGATTTTGCTTCAAAATTCAAAAGAAAACTATCCTTTTTTTCTTTTTCTTTTTTTACATAGCATAAACTTAATGTTGGTGTGATTTAGGGTGCAGTCCAATTGGGCATCATTCTTAATGACTTCAAAATGACTTTGGTCGTAATAAAGCATCATTATGTCCACATAGACGCTGCATTTCTTTCACAGCAGTGTTCTTCGAAGCTCATCCTGTTTGGAGCTGAAATTATTCTTGGTATTGTGAGATCAAATTTCTGTGTGTTCCTCAGAGATCCCATTCTCAGTCATTGACCCATTATCCGACATGTAGTTCCTGCAGATGTGTCATTTTGCTACCGCAAAATTCTACATGTTCTACTCCGAAAACCTAAATGCCAAATTTTACAAGTTGAGTTAAAACGTAGCTTGAGCCCTTTGCGTAAAACAACTGCCCATATGTCTGTKCTCCTCTACGTGCTTCTCAACTTTTGTTTTTTTCAACACCTCAACTTTCATTGTAGCTTGATTATAGAATCTGTGATGAAATTGTGCTGGTGTGTAGTCACTGTTTCTCAAATAACAGTGAATTTTAGAAATTTTACCTAACTCTCGCTTGTTTCAACTTTGACAATCTGGAAATCAGAATACTTGCTCTAGTTTTGTTAGCTCTCACTGTATCGGTTTAACTGTAGCATTTAGTTTCAGGGCCTAAGAGACAGAAATCTAGTTTTGGTGGTTACTCTGCTGAAACAGAAAAATGAAAAGTAAATTATGTTTTATTACATCGATTTTATAGTCTTAGTGCATTAAATGCACCTAAACAAGCGGGATTGCTTGTAGCTCAATTAGGGCAATTAGGGCTTGTAGCTCAATTAGGGCTCAATTATTTTCAGGTAAAAGTGATGGCCAAAAGAAACGTGAGCAGTGATTTAAAAGTGGAGATTAGTAGTGAACTGAGAGATGAAGCCAACAGTGTTTACCATCTCTCACTGAYTTAGGATTTGATTTGAACTGGGAATGTGTAAGTTGAAGTGATACTATTCTGTTTTGTTTTGTACTCTCCTTCTTTCCCCTTTTCCCCTCTCCAGCCCCTCATATAATTTTTAGGGAATTCTCTTGTTCCAAAGGGGGAAAAACTGCATTTTATACATATATATACATATACAGATTATACATATATATATGTATAATATATATAATATAAAAATATGTATTTGTATAAAATGCAGTTTTAAAATGCATATATATGTAAAAAAAAATGTATATTTAACAAACAGATGCCCATACAATTGACCTCAATTTTGTATTTTGTGTCCCCATTCTAAATAATATGGCATTTGAACACTCCATCTGCAAAGAGTGAAACTGCTTAAATTGAAGTATGGATTGGGTACTAATTCAGAAGCTGTTGAAAATTTCCCTGGGATCTGATCGACTTGACTTTTCAACACTCTTTTGTTTTGGCTTTTTCTGTGTGTCACTGGTTTGTTGCCTGCATGCGTCTCGGGTTGCTTTGGCATGGTGAGCAAGCTCTGCTAGGTACTAAAATAGTGATGCCTGTATCATTTTCGCATGCCTTTTAAAATGCTGCAGAACTGACAGTATTTACTTCTTCCGTTGACATAAACTGTTTTGCTCTGATGAGAGGTCCCTTTGGGACAATTCTTAGATGTTATCTGCAGGGTATGTGTACAGGAAGGACTATGGTGTCTTGGGGCATAAATATATGAAGAACACTATGATCTTGGGTAGGTTTTACAAAAATGGTCACAGGCAGCAGGGTTCAGTAATTAAGTGTCTATTGCTGACACCTTGAAAGAAAGAAAAGGTATCCAGCATTATGTGAGGAAAAAGGATCATTACAGCAACCAAAATTTCAATCTCTAGACAGAATATGTTCCTAGGATCTCATTTAAATACATATACCCTAAAATGTAGCCAAGTTGCAGTATTTTAGTTATCCAATTATGGTTTTATTTTATTTTGTTAAGCAAAAGAAGCAAAACTTGATGGGGTGRGATCCCTGGGAGTTACAAAGTTGGGCCAAACTGTGTTCGAGTCAAAGTCACTGAGAGTTTCACTGTTGACTTTTGTGGGAGCAGCTTTAGGTCACTGCACAGTACTTTTGAGATCCCACCTCTAACTATTTCTGAGTTGAGTGTGTGATTATTTCCTCCCAGGGAGGAGTCCATCACCACAGCTTTCCAGAAACATCGTACAMGCGACATATATGTTGGCCATAGCACCGAATTCCAGCAACTTTAGCCGCCTTCCGCTTGGGAATTTGTGTTAATTGGCGTAAGGGGCTGATGCTGAGCGTTTGGGAGCACAGTAACGAACGTTGAGCCGCGGCCCTTGCTGGAAGCGGGAGCTGCTGAAGCCCTCCAGGATCGCAGGCCCTGGATGAGCCATTCAGAACCATATGCGGTCTCTCGTATGCTAGTTTCGTGCTTGCTTTGTGGTAGTGGCAACCAGCCAACCATGACGAGGAAAAGAACACGGTGGGTCTTCAGCTTGCGCTGGGGCTACTTCTGCTTTTAAAGAGAACATGATCTGAAAACCCCTCTGCGCTTGGTCTCTGAAAAGCATTCAACACGTGCCAAAGCTCTGTGGAGCAACTGGAACAGTAGAGATTGCAGGGGTGAGCACTTTGTCCTGTAGCGCATGCTGGGGTTAAAGGGTCTCCCATCCAAGTTTTCTGTTGGTGATGCAGAATTGATGGCATGGAGTTGCCCAGAGGCATGTGGGGGAAGAAGAGCATGTAAATCTGCCTTCAGGTCACAGGCCCCATTTCTATTGGGGTGACTCATTTGAAGTGATACTGGTATCAAAGATAACCCCCCTGGAAGACAGTTATCATAATTATCTATCATGGTACGATTATCATTGTTGGCTCAGGAGCCTGTCAGTTTATAGGCTGCTGCTGCATCCTGTTTTTAAACAAATGTGTCAATGCCATGTGCTGTGGAGCCATCCCAGAGCACCACGGCAGGCCTCTCGTCTGATGTAGGACCGGAGGGACTGTCACCCGTTAACGTGGTGCCCTCCAGCAGGAAGCTGCTTCAGTTTGCTTGCTGCCTTCCTCCCTGGTCCCTTCCCCCTCAGCTGCCTTTGCTCCCAAGGAGCTGGTTTGGCATCAGCCTGGTGGTGCCTTCTCCCTTACTAGACACTGCCATGTCCCTGTCTCCCCACTCATTGCCTCTATGTAAAGCCTGGCTGTGCATTCCTCAAACCAGCCATAAAGAGGACCTGTTATGATAGGAGCTGTTAATCCTTACAGTATGGAGTGAAGTAGTGGAGCACGTGTAGGGTTAGGGTAAAGAGGAGATCCAGATACAACCAAGTGCAGTACTTGAGAAGCTGCTGCCTCCGGGAGCCATTATAGTTGAACAGTGACTTTTTCACCCCCGCTGCAGATGGCAAATGAAGTGCATGGTAGAGGCATGTTGAGCAAACTTATTGCTCAAAGACAGTCCGCTTGTAGGCAGGATGTATGAAGTTTGGTGTGCGTGTGTCTGAGCGTGCCTGCGTGTGAAGGGAACTTGCGTTGTTACGGAGAGAGGAACTAAGGTGCTTTTTGCATTGGACTTTCTGCTCTAAATCCTTTTCTTAAAAAGGAAACATCTGAAAAAAATCATAATTTGATGTCTGAACTAAGTGGGAGGACTTCCAGTGGGTTAGTTTTTGTGCATCTAAGTTACCACCTATATTCTTGGAAATCCCATTTGAGAAGACAGTTGAATATGCTTTTCAGAAGCATTTTTTTCTTCACAGTCAGAGGAGCAAGAAAAGCTTTGGAAAAGAAAAAGTTAAAGTGAGCATTAGCAATGCAAAGCAGTAATATATGATTATAGTGTTGTTTTAAATGCACCCTGTAACCATTTTAAAACATTAGTAATGGTTATCCAACTTCCCTAATTGATCATGTAACTCATTRTGATAGCTGACTAAGAAAGTGAGGCTTGACTGTGCAAGAAAAGCCTGAGTCTTGCAGTTGTCTTTCTTGAAGTCTTTCCCAAACCCTCCTCTCCCCAAAAAGACTAACTCTTGTTGCTTTTCATTTTGTTGGGTTTGTGAACTAAGTAAGGAAAAATGATTGCATGGAATTAAAACAAATTACTTTTCACATTTTTTTCAGTTGTGAATCTCTTGTGCGTCTATTCTGAGAAAGGAAAATACAAGAGAAGATGCAATTTAGTTGTACTAAAAATGTAAAAAGAAAATAGATTCTGTAGGAGAACTTTACAGTCTTTTAGTGAAGACACTTCTACTTTAAAAGGTTTGTTCCTGAACTTTGGGGCAGGCATAACTGAGCTATATGATGGTATTTAAGCAGCAAAGTGTATGCAAAAACTGTATTTTAAAATGTGACTGCCTAGAGATGATCTCAACTTGTGGGGATAACGATACACCTTCCTCAAAGTCAATAAGACTGCACCAGTCTGGAGCAGAACTCATGCACTAGTAGCTGGTTAATGTATTTGTCTTGGTCCTTGTCCTTGATGTTTTCTTCTCATTCGTTTTTGCTTCTTTACATAGGGAATGAAGTATCTCTGCATTCCTGCTGCTGACTCACCCTCACAGAACTTGTAAGTTTTCTTTAATAATAAAAAGCAAAAACCTAGATGTTCCTCAATATTGTGGTGTCTGGTCTATAATGAGCTAAAGGATCTGTTTCTAATTTCTTAAGTGTTGCACTAATGTGTTTTTAATCAGTTAAGAAAACACGGCAAGGTTTTCTTGCAGCTGCTCTGGTTTTGACCCTCCTTTTTAGTGTGTAAGAGTTTGAGTTTGTGGGAGGGTCGGTGTGTGAACACCTGTGCATATGTAGTTTTAAACTTTAGGGATTCACGTTTATTACCAGCTTTTTCCAGACATTGGTTTTGTTTTGTTGTGGTGTGTGTGGTTTTTTGGTTTTTTTTTTTTTTTTTTGGTAAATCTCTTGGTGTTTGGCTGTTTTTGTTTTGTTAGCATCAGCCATTAGAAAGAAGAAAGTACTGAAAGATATATGAAGTCTTGTGCTTCCAAGGTTAGGATCAGTTCTTCACAATGGGCCTTCAGGAGAGACTCGCAGTGTGCAAACTAGCCCTGCAACCATCTGTTCTGGGTTGTTTGTCCCTTCCTTTGCAAAGCCCAACGCTCTTCGCTATTAGGCTGGTGTGGCAGGGAGTTYGTCTGCACTACAGAGCCTCATGCCTCGAAGATGAATCTGCTCTAACCGTCATGTCCCAACCTCCTCCATTCTCATTTCTGTTTGTTGGGTGAACAACTGCCCTCAAACACCAGTTGACCTGCCCTTTAATACTTGGAACCACTGAGTTGAAGGTACATGGGAAACCTCGATTCCGAAGAGTAATCAAAACACGTTTTGTAAGAGAATTTGGATAGCGACCAACTCTTTCTTCTAGAGCTCACTGTTTATGTTGGGGAGAGATGAGGGGGGTTTCAGCCACATCCTGCTACAAGTTTTGCAGAGAAACAGAACTACTTGAAAGAGGCCTGGTAGGTACGGAAGGAAGCAGAGCACTGCTTTTCTCTCACATCACARCAATATTCCGGCTGATGCTTTCGGTGAATATTTATAGAGCATTTGTTTCTCATACCCTAGAAAGATTCCAGGGGGCCATTTGCTGTGGGTCATTTTGTCTTTTTTATTCTAACGCATTTCTGTCATGATTAAAAATAATAAAAACGAATAGACAAACAAAAAACCAAAACCACTTCTCTTTCCCTCCCCAAAACTTGGATTTTTTTTTCAAGACAGATATGTAATGAGAAGGCAAATCATTATTTTGTGCTTTTGTGAAGGAAAACGTCTGATATTAGAGAGAAATATTCATATGGAGCAATTTTAATTTTTTTATTTGGAGATTTATGAGGCATTTGTGAAAATGTTTTTCAAATCTATCTCCTATGCTATGCTATTAGAGATCTGGATCAATTCAGGAATGGATATAGCTAAGAAACCATTTCTGATGAACATTAGTCAACATTATGAATGTTAATGTACAACTCAGCCCTTCCTTCAGTGTAACGTATCACAAAATTATATTGAAGAGCCACCTCCTGCACTTGAACTACCTGGCACTCTACCAAAGCTCTTGAAGCTTCAGAAAGAAGATACAAATTTGCATGAGTATTGTTTCTGTTAAGCAGCAGGCATCCACAATACTTACTTTGGTATCAGATGGTTGCAAACAAACGTCATTACTTCTAATACCGATACACTCGATCACTTAAAATAAAACTTGATGAGTAACTGTTTTTTTTTTCTTTTTTTTTTTTACTTTATACAATCCAGAACTTAAGTAAAACCAGACTAAGATGTCTGCAAGTAGTGATGCTGCTTGCTTTTTCACTTCTGGAACTTGGAGGAAGCTGTTTTTATTCACTCTGTGAGGACTTGATAAAATCTTATCTAACAGTGTTTTATGGTACTGTGTGCCTTCTTAGGAAAGAGAGATAACTGGGGAACAGGAAAGGGAATCAATGCCTGAGCAAAATCTTTACACACCCATCTTCTTTCAAAGAGAGGTTGTGGTGGTGCTAAGGGAGAAAACAAAAGAATAGCATCATCTTTTCTTCTAGGTCCTTGTGTTTTGCCAGTGATGGCCAACAGGCACAGCTGGTGGAGSACATTGGAGTCTTACCTGTCTGACCAACTCCAGCTTTGTCAGGAGGAGCTTCTGAAGCCCTGTTGCTACTTTCCAGCCACTGGTGGCTTGAAAAGGTCTGACTGGAGTCTCTTCCTCACTGAGTGTGAGCTCTTAATTCACTTCAGCTAGGGTCTTCTGAGGCAAGAAACGAAAGAAACTTCTGGTTTCTTATATGTGTAATAAATTTACTTACAGTAAGCTTGTTTAGTGGATCTCCTTTCCTCAGGGTAGTGTGTTGTAGTGAAATACTGTAGGTGTTTGCTGGAGTGGCTTGAAAGTTGCCTCTACTCCCACTTTCGGCCTCTCTCTAGGGTAAGAACGAAGCAGTTGCCTCCCCAGAAATGTCATCTCCCACAGAACCCACTACGACTAAGTTACTTCTATGAAAATTATTATCTTCTCTTCCTGTCCCGTTCTAGCTAATTATCTTAGGCTATGTTATATCTGTGGAGCCAACATCCAACTTGTTAGCCCAGTGGGGTTAAAACTGATGTGCTGGTCAGGCTGTTACAGGTGGCAATACCACCTGAATAGGCTAGAGAACATATTAAGAAAAAAAAATGTGAATCTTAGTCATGTTTCAATATAGATGTCAAGGAAAGTAATTTCAAGGTGGTTCTTCCTGTCTGTTCTTGCATGTTTTCTTTTCAACCTTTGATGCACTCTTAGAAATCTGACCAGGAACTGTGATTTACAGGTCTGGGATCTACTGTTTGGTGTAGGGGTTGTTCACTTTGTTAATGGGTAACTGGAGTTAATGTAGTTTGTGCTGGTAGGGGCGCTCGGCTGATTCYTCTCCCTGTGGTGTGAAGAAGCAGTAGTTCAGAAGATGTCCAAGCTTAAGCTGTGATGTAAAAGCCTGATACCTTGTAATAAATTGTCTTGAAGTAACTGTTCAAGTCAACAGATAGTTCAGCGTATTTGTCAAATGCTTTCCTGTTACAGAAGCTGATCAGCTATTTTATGTCTAATGCAAGATTTGCTTTTCTTTCGTGTGTCTGTGCCACTTGCCACACCATTAACTGGTSCTCAGAACCTCTTTTCCTACATACATTTGTACTATAACCCTGTAAAACATACATTTGTACCATAACCCTGTAAATGGGTTGAGGCAACTGTGTCTGCAGGAGMCAGCAGAGATCCTTATGCAACAGTGTGTGGAAAAGTGCATTTTTCCTCCCTTCTTACTATAAGGAAGGAGTCCTCATCATTTTACAAAGCAGTGCAAACTCTGGCTCTTTCTCTTGTAATTTTCCTAAATGCTTTTAGACATTTGCATTTCACACTGTTTCAGGAGACTGGGTACCAGCGATAAGGGAGAGAGAACAGAACATTGAATGGAGCTCATGGTTGGCTGTGCTTAGCTAGCACCTTGCAGCGGTGCTGTGCTCACACTGACTCTTTTCAACCTAAAGCATGGAAGTATTTAACCAAAGCTTATGCTAGACCTTCGGAATGAATATACTGGTGTTTGGAGCTGCCTTGTTAAGATTTTCTAGAAAGGAAAAGAAGATGGGTGCCTGGGAAGCCTGTGCCTTGGTCAGGCAAGCGCTGCTCAGCTTTCCTTCAGTCAAATCCCTTTAATCTTGGACAAGTGCTCCATCATTGTGCAAGAGCAGCAGCTTTTGTGCATGCAGCCTGAAGTCTGGTTTGCCCTGAGTTCATGTCTTGTGTTCCACGGGCAGTCCTGGAGCCCTGTTGTGTTAGAATTCGGCYGTGGAAAACTCTGTGGAGTAGCAGTCCATTTAGCAGCTGAATGGAAAGGCATTTTTAAGGCTTGGAAAGCTTGAGATTGCATCATTCTCAGAAGATCRCTTTCCAAGTAAGTCCCTTGAGCCTTCTCCAGCTATTTGGCCCACTTTGTATCCAGTGATGCAAGGGATGCCTTGGAGAGGGAGTCCTGGGCTCCCATCTCTTTGCATGCATCAGCCTAGCAGCAAATTGCCTTTGCAGGTTCCCCAGGCTCTGCGGCTCCACTGCATTACTTGTATCCCCCAGCAGCTCACACTATCAACAGCTGCCCTCTTGGGCAGGAAGAGAAGCTTCCTTTTGCGTGGGCATTCCTGAGTTTTCTGTGGCTGACCATRGTGAGGGTTTTTTTTTTGTTTTATTTTGCTTTTTTTTTTCTTTTAATCCTTGTGGTGTAATATTCGCTCAGAGAGGGGAAACATCTTGCGCTCAGGACGTTGCGCTTCACGGGCGCTGAGCGCGGCTTGCAGGCCTGCCGTCCCCRGCGCTGCCCCTCGCACGCGCCGCTGCTCCTGCTCCTCCCGGCGCTGCCGAGCGCTCGAGGGCCGCGCCCGAGCTCCCGCCCGCCGAGGTGGGAGGTGCAGCTCACACTGAGGCCCGAAACATCTGGGAGAGGAACTGTGCGGCTAATGACAGGGGAATCTGAGGAAGCTGATGCAGTAAACCAAGAAAGAGTTGATATTTAGGCAAGTTCGGGAGGCGCAAGTAGCAGAAGCAGGCAGGGTTTCCGTCAAGAATTTTTTCATAGCAAGGACAGAAGAGAGAGATTTGAAGCTACAAAGTAAAAAAGACTTAAGATTTGCCTGTGTCCTGGTCCCTGAGTTGCCTTTGACTTCATMTCTGCAAACCAGGTTTGGATAGCAGGTAATGGATACCTCTGTTTGAGAGGCAGTGTCCTGTGGGAATGGTTCCCATGCAGTTTCACCTGATGTCTGAGCACAGTCAGTGAGACACAGCCCAGAATACAGCCTTGCCACTCATCAGAATAAAGCATTTGCTAATGTTTATCACACTGTAGTGCTGAAGATGCCAATTTCGTCTTCACGTAATTTGGAGAGTGAATATACCAATCAGGGCATGTGTGCGTTTTGTTTGTTTATTTGTTTTTCTTTGTATTTTTTGTTTGTTTATTTGGGTTTTTCTTACCAGATACTGACTTTTACCTGTTAAGACCCATGTTCAGTTCTAGATTCTAGAAACAGCATTAAGTGAGCTTTCAGATACCTTTCTCTTTTTCTGAGTAGTGATTTTACTAAATAGAGCATTTTCTGTATTCACCTTCTGGTTCCATTTTCAGGGCAAGGCATTTCAGAGAGAGCATCAAATTTATCCATGAATGCCGGCTTGCAGGTGAAGGCTGTCTAGTTCATTGGTATGTATGTTATGTATATCACTTCCTAAGAATTACCTTTGTAAGAGTTTCTGTGCCTTTCTTTGGTTGTTCACCATCATAATAAGTCATCATTCGTCTGAATTTTATAGCAAAATGTTTTTGGACTGAAATATTTCCTTTATTTAAAGAGCCCCAAAGACTTAAAAGTGYTATTAGAGCCTCATTCTTGAGTCACCGGACTGGGCAGCTGCCAGAACAAGGAGAGAACCTAAGGAATTCTTGATCTTCCCTCTAATTAGACCTTTTGATAAATCTTCTCAAGATTCTGTCTGACTAGAGAGGTCTTTCTTATTTTCCATTACTGTCAATCACTGCCTTTTCAAAGATGGTTCTCATGATCATAATCCTAATGATCAGTTAAATCAGTTCATTTAACAGCTATTTCAGGGACTGCAGAATTGGTTTTTTTTTCCCCTCTGAACAGACTTTTTTTTAGTGCTTTGAACGACTGAAGCATTCAAATGTTACAGTTTTTACAGTAAGTCCCTGACTGGCAAGATGCTTCTGGGACCTTAAAGAGAAAAAAAGGAAAGCCCATTCTTTTTTCTTCTTTCTTTTTTCCTTGTTCTTCCTTGCTCTTTGCTATTGGCTGCAGTCCTTGTGCTGTTTGTCCAAGTGACATATCTGAATCCTTATGTGGAGTCAGAGTCGTCTCATGATTTGAACGCTGAACTTGTGTGCAGGCCCTTAGCAGGAATCCTCAGTTGTTACTGATTCATGATAGGGCTGTGGACGAGTCATTTAGCCAGTCTGCTGGGGATAGATAGGTAAAATGGGGATAATTTGTCTGAGTCTTGAGAGTATTTTTAAAAAGCCTTTTTAAAATTCTATAGCACTGCAGAGGCATGAAATGGTCTGGAAATGCCAAGGGAAGGTATTTACAATACCAGTGTACTTCAAACACATTATTTACACTTAAAATAGTTATAGCTGGACCTTGTTTGTTTGTTCAGGACTGTCAAACGGACAGTTCTTTCTTTATTCCACGATGTCAGATGTTGAAAGTGGAGTCTGGAGAGATGGAATTGCACAGTGCACAGACTGTAGAAAAATAACCCAAACATCCATAATACTGTGCATTAACGATATAGTTAAGGTTCATTTCAGCCCTATGGAACTGGAGATGAAATTCATGGTGGTGACGAATACAGTCTTATTGCTCTGGTGTGTATAGGCAAAAAAAAAATGCAGGTGTGTTAATAAAAAATCAAATCTAATTTAGAACACATGTGCTGCCCTCCGCTGCTATGAAGACTTGTTACTTTTTCTTTCCTTACCAGTCTTACGTGAGTTAGCATTCAGAATCCACTTTCTTGATCTTGTACATTTATTCTGATGCATATGAAAATGCAGTAGCAAAACCCACTTCAGCACGAATATAGGAATACCTCTTCATGATGGTAGGTAGCACAGCAGCCTGCTGCGGTGTTGGGAAGGGATGCTTTTAACCTCAGTCGACGTAGTGCTGTACTTCACCTGTTCCTTGCACCTCCTTTCTGCCACAGCCTCGCAGGTGTCTCCAGGAGTGTGACGCTGGTCGTTGCCTACATCATGACCATCACAGACTTTGGTTGGGAAGACGCTCTGTGTGTTGTCCGAGCAGCGAGATCCTGTGCAAATCCTAACATGGGCTTCCAGCGGCAGTTACARGAGTTTGAAAAACACGATGTTGATCAGGTAGGTGAACGACACCCCAATGAACTGAGAAATACCATCCCAGGGCAGTTCAAGGGCTGCTCTTCGTTATCCTGAGCGGTCTGTCTGGCCCTTCTTTGTTCCAAGGGAAGGATTTCTTGGGTAAGCCTGCCCCAATGGCGAGGTACAGCTGGTGCTGAAGATGGCAGGAATGCTGGATGGGAGAAGAGACAAATCACAACAGGCAGGCACACCTTCCTCTCTTCCTCTGTGCTCTCAATTCAGTGAGTCCCTCGTGTGGGCTGAAGACATAATGCATAAAAGGCTGAAACATTCAGAAGGGTAAAAAGTGAGGAATGAGTAGTGCAGTGTGAGCAGCAAGGCTAACCTACAAGTACAAATTACATCATTTTTTTTTCTGCACATCCACTTGGAATAGTAAGCAAGAAAGAAATGATTTGTGGGCCATAATCAGAAACCCTTGCTGTCCAGGAGTTAAGCTGGRTTCTAATTAACTTGCAGTCTCCCCACTGGTACCTTCTGTCACTAGGACCTTGGTAAATATTTGGTGCATAAGGCAATCTCAGGTCTGGCTCCTTTTTTCCTGGTCTTTAAGAGCTTATTAGGGCTATGAAGACTGAGGGAACATAAGGCTGTAAAGTGGTTTTCTAACATAAGTGGGAGTAACTAGGCACCCACAGGGTGCAGATCTTTTATGCAGGATGGTTCTTCTGTGGGGAAAGTATTTTTTATTTCAACTTCCTACTCTGTCTATCCCCTCTATTTTTCCATTGCTCAGCATATTGTTGTTCTTTTGGCTTTCCTGGATTGTACTTACTAAGAAATCAGCAGCAATAACAGCAGAACAAAATCTGGAAAGCAAAATACATAAACGAAGCAAAAAAGATTTTTTTTTTTGCCTGCATTCCTGCTGCAGAAAGCTCCAAGTTTTGCATGGTGCAGTTGATGACTAAATATAATTTTTTATTTATATAAATRCTTAACTGAATGTTTCCTGGATCGTTTGGAACTGGTGTAAATTGGGGAGTAACTGATTTTAAGAGACAGAAGTCAGAGGGGGACTTTCCAGACTTGTCTCCTTCCTCCCTTACAGTCATTTCTATTCTAATTGGTCTGGGCAAACTGCAATGACAATTAAGGCTATATGCAAATAGCCTGATAAAGACAGTAACGTCTCTTTTTTTTTTTATCCACGATGGAGGGGCATTCTGCCTCTTTCACTGAGGGGGAGGCAGTAGTTGCAAAAAGAAATATCCACCTGTGGTCACTGGCTGGGCTGTAATTTCCTACTGTCTCTTAATAACAACCACATCCTTAGCAGGTGTCCGTTTGTACACCTGATTTCAGTGGAATTGTGCCACCTGCCAAGGGCATGAACTTCTGATTGCAGCACCATGAGTGTTTTGCTGTGCCTATATAGTATGGCATCTATGGGATTTCTGGAATGAGGTCTCATAGGTTTTGATCTCAGAGAGAGAGATTTACTCCATATGCTTCCTAACATGGTTTGCGCCAGACCCAAAGTTCCATGTGGCAGCCTGAGGCTTTGGATTTGACTTACGACCTTACGATCTTTTATGGATGGGGGAGGAAGTAAGAGGTTTTGTCTCCCAGTGTCACCGTAAATGCACCTTATGGATTAAATTATCCATAATAAGCCCCAAAGCTATGGAAGGTGAGGCTAGAAATAYCACAAAATATCTCCACTGATACAGAACAGTTGAGGGTCTGTGTCTACGTGCTTCTCCTGCAGAGAGGAGCAACAGGGTTGTCAGAAATAACTACATGGGCTAAAATTCTTCAAATGACAAAGAAATGATGGAGAAGAAAGTGATGAAKATCTAAAAAGTTGAGGAATAAAGTTGTGGAATAAAGAAGGTGAACAGGTATGGTTTCCACTCTTGCCCATAATGTGAGATGAAATTATCAAGTGATGGTTCTTCGAAAAAAAGGAGGTGCGTATTTATGCAATAGGTAGTTCAACTGTGGAGCTTGGTGGTATCCAGACATCTTGTGGCCAAAAAATGGTGGATTCAGAAAGTGATCTCATGGCAGAAAAATCTATTCGTTGCTCTGAAACACAAAGATACTGATTCAGCTTCCAAAAATGCTTGAGCTGGAAGTTGATGGAAGTTGGGACAACAACCAGGAAAAGCCTCTCAGTATGCTTGCCCTAGCACTGCATTTCCTCTTAGGCATTTACTTCAAATTGACCTGGTACATCTGTTATCATATGCCATATTCAGTCATTCATATCAATAATATATAGGGTCTTATAGCTTTAAAGCTCATGGCCTTTTTCCTCCAAAGGYTGCCTTTCCCAATATCTACAGTGCAGTGTTTACTGCTGGTCTTATTGGTTCARGAGGGCACAGCGACACGAGTGGTTTGCTTTTCTGCTTCTCACCCTTCTGAAGATCTTGCATCCCATTGTGATTTGGACGGAGTGCCTGGTTGCAGGAGCTTGCAGCATTTACACAGCTCATTTGTAGATGGAACTGCAAATGGAGGAGGGCGCTCTTACATCCAAGATGTCCTTGTCCAGTGGATGTTCCTTATCCTGTATTAGAAGAGAGAATTATTTCTACATCAATGTCATGTTGTTATTTCATCATGTCATATCTGTATGTTCAATTTCTCCAGTTCAGGCAGTGGCTGAAACAAGAATACGGAGAAAATTCCTGTCAAGATCTGCAAGAAGCCAAAAGTCTTCTGAGCAAATACAAAGAGCAGGCAGAGTTGCAGCAGAGTACTGGGGGAAGACAGTGGAATAACAACTTCTCATCTATGTCATCTCTCTCATACAACAACTACACAACAGAGACCTAATCATAAAAAGTTAAATATGTTTTTTGTTTTTGTTTTCTGTTGAAAAACATCTCGCCATCCTACCTTCAAGACTCCCAGCAGTAATCATGCAAACAGTCAATTTGTAGAAAGCTTCTCGATGACAATACTACGTTATATGTGTGTGTGTGAGTGCATTTGACACAATTTTATCATTTGGACAGCATCAAGCTCTATGTGTGCTCAGAAACATGATCAGGTTCCTGAGGCTGAGCCAGTCTATCAGCCACAGCTATTACCCCTTACACCCATGTAGCTTGGCATTTGCCATGAGATCAGCTCAGCCCCTTTTGTTGCAGGCTAGCAAAGGGCTCTGAGAAGCGAGCTCTGGTGATTCAAGCTGTGCAGTTTTGACATTTGTGCCCTGTTCATGAAGATGCTGTTGTTTCCCAAAGAAAGGCATTTGAGCCTGTGTCTCTGCTGCTCCAGTTCAGTGTCCACTGGCAAATAATATCCTGAAGACGGGCTTGTACCTGCAYGCTGAGCTCTGAACTGGAGCAGGTGAGATATGGGTGCATGTCCCTCTCTATCAACAGCAGCAGCTAGGGGAGAAGTGGGACAGACAGCTCTGAGTAATAACATCTTCAACTGCCACAGTTGTGCTTGCTTCAGTGCACGTGAGACAGAGCTGTTGGCAGAAGCGGCGCCGCCGGAGAGCACGGAGACTGTTAGCAGGGCTCAGCTGACGTGCACTGATTGCAGCCCTGGCCGCTTGATTGTGCAGCTGGTCTCCCAACACAAACTCCCCTGGAGAGGAGTTCTTCAGGTTTCCAGTGCCACTGAACAGCGTTCCCTGTGGAACACGTGCCTCTCCCACACACACCTGTGTGCACAGGGTAACATGTCTCCAAAGAGTGGGCTGGGTGTGAGTGTGAGCACCTGTTTCTTCGCTTGTGGTTTGCTCTTTGACTTTAGCTACCTCAAAAATGCTGTTCTTGTCATTGTGGTTGTAAATGCAACCTTGAAAATTGCCTTGTGTAATTTTAATTTCACTCTGAGTGAAGCGTGCGTGTGTCAGAGAGGCYCTGTGTGTGTGTGTGTGCACATGTATTTTTCACAAATGTCTGTATTTGAGAAGTTTATTGTTTCCTTTTAAAACTATCCATATTTCTCACTAGTTTAAAAAATCAGATGTTTAAATTTAACTTCCTGCCATTTTAGAACCACTATATGTTTTGCTGTGGTCAGATTTATAGCAATTCATATGCAGAATATATTTTAAATTAGGGGCCATTCTCTGGTCTTGTTAACATGGCGTATATCTGGAATGGAGCCATTGAGTGACTTAAATGTGTTATGTTTCAAAGACTGTAGCTTCAAATTAGAGATTCTGGGAAGTGTAATGATTTCTGATGGGGTAATGGAGGGTAGCATTAATGCCACAGTCTTGGTCTCTTGTCTTTGACTCTGAAGATGAAGAGTTTATTTTTCTTGAAGATTCAAAAAAAAAAAACCCAAACAGCCATATTAATAAATAAAAAAGTCTAACTTTTTAAATGTATGGTGTATATAGTGCTAAAAATTGAGTATTGAGACTGTGAGGCAGTCAACACACTAAACAGACTGTTGTCATCTCTGTCAGTACTGTTGGTACTCCGACCTTCCACCTTTTTACTAAATTCCTCTTAMGATTTTTTGTTTCTCTTTTTCCCATCCTCACTTTGAATGACAGTGAATTCTTTGAATGTGAGCGAGGCTTTTTAGGTCAAATAAGCCTTAGCCTTGTTAAAAATCTTCCAAAATTTATTTTAGATCATGCGGAATATGGATGTAACAAGTCTGTTATTGCCAAAAGCTTAAAAAAAAAAAAAAAAAGAATAAAAAGGGGATGGAACTAGCCTTACTATTTTATCTGATCCCAGCTGTATTGTAATTCTCATTGCACTAAGTGCTCTCATTAAGTGTATCGGGCACGGTTGAGAGGAGGATAATTATATATGTGTTGCAGCAGGAGATGCTGTTGGCTTGGGAAAGGCACTGGAGGTTACGCTGTGTTTATTTCCAAGCTTATGGCTCAATGAATCACTGCCTGCTTGGGATGTTCAGCAGACATGCTCTGTGTCTCTTCAGTGAGAGAAGTTCTTGGCCGCTTTTCCCCCACCCCTTTTCTCTTTTTCCTCTCTCAAAGATGCTGGTCTGCAAATCCTTGGCTGTTAAGGAGTTTCAGCGCAGTGGTACCCAAACTGGTAGTGCCCTCTGTGCTTTGTGACAAGGTCACAAGCTTTTTTGGACGCAGTAAAAAATACTTTTCTCGGTAACAGGGTCGGACACGTGGATTCAGCGTCCTGTGTCCTCGAGTTCAGGATGGTGGTCTCTTCGTTCAGCCCTCTCCTCGGAATGGGATCCGTGGTGTAATTTCCGCCCCCGCGCTGCAGGCGGCTGCTCGAGGGATTCTGCCAAGGCGCTTGTAGGTGTCCAGTCAGGCTGTGCTGTCGCTGACTGACGATGGTGGTAGGTAGTCCGTAACATTTTGTCAGTCCTCTTCTGTCCTTGCAGTAGTAAAATTGTGAATGCTGATAAGCTGACTTTTTTTTTTCCCCATTCTGACAAGTACAGGACAGAACAGGAGACATCTGTTAATGTTCATGTGTCTAGGATTATTCTCTGATGGATTTTTATTTTTAATAGTTAGATAGCCCCCAAAGAGTCATTCCCAGAAACAGGCTTTAAGGCTATGCAGCCACATCAACAACATACATGATGCTGCTACTGGAGAGCAGATACAGGGTAAGCCAGGAGGACAGAGGGGTGCCATATTGTTAGCAAGTAGGAGCACTTCTCTCTTTTAAAAGATAAGTATTTTCTGCAGTTACTTGCTCCTAGATCTCATTTAGTTGGCTGTATATATTTGAGTGGTAAAAGAGCAACTGCATGCTAAGAAACTTGCATTTGTTCTTGTCTATGTAGGGAGCAGGAAAGCAGGGTTTACTCCTTYAGCATCAGTAGCATCACTACTCCTAGCTGCAGAAGAAACAGCATCTACAGTTCTCACCTTGGTTTCCTAGAAAAGGAGAGGAGCCAGCATTGCCCAAGAACAAGACATGATCTGTCTTCCAAGCAGCCTTTCAGTGGCAGTTTGTAGGCATTTGCAGATATCTGGAATATGACTAGACCCCAGTCCACRTTTTGGTAGTTGGCGTATATAGTGTAGGCAACGTGTTCAGTTACTTTGTGTTTCTGTATTTCAAAACACTGTCCTCATTTTGATGTCCACTGGAAAATGTATAAAGTTTATAATACCTTACTGGATATCCAGCTCTGAAATGTATAATCGATTTTTTGTAAACTTGATATCCGTGTGTGATTATAAGCAAATGCTTTAGTGTTATTCTATGTAGGTAATGGGTAAATGCATTAGTATTTATTACCCTCGTTTTTAACCTGGAAAGAGTTGCTTCCATACTTTTTGTGGTTGATAGGGAAGATATGGCAAATCATATCTTTTTTTTTTWAAAAAAAAAAGAAGGGTAATAACATTGGTTTCTAYAACGGTCACTGTCTATAAATAAGTCAGTGAAAAATTATAGTACTTCAGCTAGTTCAAAACTAAATCTGGTCAGCTTCTTGATTCTCCGTCTTCCTCTTTCTGGGCATCTTAATGAGGCCCTGAGTGCTTTTTCCAAATGTTTGTATTTAATACATTCTATAATTTTTTTATAAATAAAAATAAATGTTAGCATCTGATTAGCTTGTGTGTTTTCTTGAAATAAATAAGTCTAAAAGGCTTCTGTATCCACTATCTGCACCCAGCAGGTACAGTAAGAATATAGCACTAACTCATTTTGATGCTTGGACATTTTCTTATCCCATACGTAGATGTCTTGAGACTTGCCCTCTCCATCCGGTTCTTCCAGGTGAGTTCAGGACTCCAGTGCAAGCATCTTCTGATGGTAGTTGCTGAACAGCTTGTTACTTATTGGTCTTCCTTTCTCGTTGTTCCTGGCCCATTGTTACAGGGTAAGTAGTTCCCCCAGATAACTTTTTCTTCCGAAATACCTTATTTTCCATAGAAAACCATTGTTTCAGGTCTTAAACCAACTGAAATTTACAGTGAGTTGCAGGCTGCAAGGACTCTAGGCTCACAGTAGTGGCTCATCTCACTAAGCTGATGTAAGTGGCAGAACGCGCTTCCTGGGCAAAAAGTTTAAAAACTTTTAGTGTCAGGGAGAGGAAAAAGCCCCRTTTAAATTCCCACGGTGAGCAAAGTCCATTTCTGGTTTGCCAGAATTACCCTTTTAACAGAGGTAGTGTCTTTCAAACAATAAATAAACCTGAAAATATGATCTGTCATGCCAAAGTAGCCAAAACTAATTTCTACTTCAGTCATTGCTGAAGGCTGTGCTATGTTATTCCTGTGGGACCTGCTCATGATGAAGGCAACGTTGGATATATTAATGCACRATGGTTTCTGGGTCTTCCTCCTTCCTCTCCCTTACGGGTTGGTTCATAGACATGTGGAAATGCATGGATGCTTTCCAAGCAATATGTGAGAATTACCTGTGAGGAAAAATCCACTAGAATTAGAGGTTATGGGTCGGTGAATAGCTTTCATGGGGCTAGTAAGATAGACCTCTCTCTGTATTATGTTCATGCATTCGTCTCCTTCAATGCCACTGAAGTGGTTCTGATTTTTATCAAAGTGTATTTTTCAGTCCCCTGCGTTCCTTCTTATAGAGAGGTTTTGCAATACAGCCTGCTATGTGAGGCTTCAGTTAGTAACATAATTGCCCAGCTTTTGTCATTATCTCTAGTAATATCTTAAATACATACTCCGTAGCACTGACAAGACAGAAAACATGTGAAAATATTGTCACTCTCTTTTGAATTATGAAACGCTTTTTAAGTTTTAGATCTGCTTCCTTCTCCCTTACCTCCCCTCAAAGGAAAACAGCAGCTTCCCAATGAATGATACATTGGTTTTGTCATCTTTCCAATTAAATAACGCATTTCAAGGGCAATTTTTATCTAAATCAGATGTGAAAAACAGGTGTCGCACCCCTAGTTGCTCTATTATTGCTCCCAACTACCTTGTTTCATTCGGTGTTGTGGGTAGTTACCATGACTTCCAGAATATGGCAGTTCTGACTTGCTTCTTGTCATGCTGTCCCACCATGCAAAAAAAAAAAAAGAAGGGAACAAAAGGGTAAAACCCATTGTCCTGAAATGTGCCCATATTCTGATCAAGTGTTTGGACTTTGCCAGGAAATTATGCAGAAGTGTCCTTATGCTTCCTTGAGATGATTGTACTACTGCTGGACGATGATGTGGTCTAGAAAATATTAGCATGAGGAAGGTGTTCGTGCGTCTCGCATTTGTTTCTGTAGAAACCCCCAGAGACATAAAGCAAGCAGCAGAAGCAGCCAGCTATTTTCACACTCCTTTCTCAGCACAACTTTAAATGTGGCTCTCGTTTACCACGTGAGCCGTCTCCCCCATTCATCTCTTTGATTGCTCCATTTAGTAGCTGTCCAGTATTTCTCCTCTGCCTTCCCCCAGGAGACAAGTTCTTGTTCATATATGTCAAAACATATGCCAGCTTAGGTTTGCTTTTGTTCTAGTGAATTATGCAAACTGAAGTTTACCAAAAGTGGGTAGCTTGTAATTAGCGAGATGACCTCCTGTAGTTTCCAAGTAGTTTTTAGTGTAGTTAGGAGGAGGCATCTAATAAAGTGTAAGCAGGTGCCTGGTTGCTTCTGAAATACAGCACAGTTCAGTATTTGTGGGAGGCTAAATTCTACTCAAGTGCAAACCAAACACATCTGCAATAAATTGAGGGTAAAATTAATTTGCAAAGTCTCAGAAGATGGGATTTTCGGCCAAACTTGCATACTTGCAGCTYGTTTCCATTTTAGGTGAGGCAATTACTGTTGAAAGCTTGTGAGTAACAGAAAACTCTACTGTTTATTTGGCAAGACTGTATGTTGAAGATGTCACAAGCACGGCTATTTTTATGTGTGCTCATTGTGTATTTTCACAAGAGGTTGTCTGTTGGAAATCTTCACAAGGAAACCTACAGCAGGACACTTTACCAACAAAACTGCTCATGTAATTCCTGAATATCCCTATCAAGATGGATTCTCCGGTTGCTGTGCAAGCTTTGACAAAATCCTCAGGTTTTAAAGATGAGATTCGTATGTTCTTAGGTAGCTCATTTGCTTGACAATATCCGTTTTGTTGTATGATTCTTATTAATAAGTTGATAAAGATCTCCATCTGGAAGATGTGGTATGTCATGCAGCAACTTGTGTCCTCTGAGTAAGGCCTCATTTCTGCAGAATTCTTATTTTTTGGCAAGATGCTAAAAGTGCTTCTGTTACACACTGGAGAACTAGTTAGGCTTTTGCTGATCAGCGCTAYCTAAATGGAAAATGGCTGGAAAGAAAATGGCTCTTTCAGACTACCGAAAATCTTTTGGATTTCTGAAAATCTTGGGAGCTGTACAAGCATTTCTCAATCCTTTCTCAGGTGAACATTCCTCTTGGTAATTAGTTTGGAGAAAGAGCAGTAGGAAGTGTGTCACAATACACAGCGTATTAAGATAGAATGTGATAATGTACTAATCCACGGCAAGCATACTCTGGACTTTGACATGAATAGGCGGCAAAGCAGGATAGAAGTGGCTGCAAAGCACTATGATAGACTGAAAAGGTCAATAGTCCTCTTAGACCCAAAAGTCTGGTGGTTTTGCCTCATAAAGAAGCCATATTGAGAGGCCATCACCTTTGCCMAGACTGTAAAATACTGGGCATTTGAAGAGCATTTGGGACTCTGTTCCAGCACCTCCCATGGTCTGCTGTGCAAGTAGACAAGTTGCTTCATTTCTCTCTTGCTTCATTTCCCCAGTGGAGTGGGGAAGAAAGAAGTACGGTTCTGTGAAAGCCACGGGAGAAAAGCACTGCGACGGAGCTGGTTGTTTACTGTTAATCTCTGCTTTAGATCTGAGGGTTGCTCAAGTATCTTGGTAATGAAGAGATTCTGAAGCAGGACATGGAGCTATGATGGTTTCTTGCTAATTCTCAGCACCTCAGAGTACACACATCAGCAAAGAAAATTGAAAATATATCTACACTATTTCCCATACCTTGGTTGTACAACCACAACACTAGAAAAAAAAAGATCTCATTTTCTGAAACATTTCTTTTTCTGGAACAAGCCTAAGAGCTTGTTCCAGAAAGAAAGCACATATGGGGAATGTATCTAATAAAAGCTGCTCTGGTGGATAAGAACTGGGGGACGAACAAAAACAGTGCATCCTTTACTGGGGCGCTGCTGCTGCTTTTGGATGGTTTCATGGAAGACATGAATTTGATTCATTTCCAAAAGCGACTTGGAAACTCCAAGCAGCAAAGAAAGGGACTCCCCCTTGGCTTAACTGTTTTCCTCTGAATGTAGTGCACTTGCATGATATGTGGTCAGCACCACTTCTCAGTTCATCTCTGGGAGAAGGTCACTGCATAGGGACTGACCCTCTCTTCTTACGAGTGATCTGGACGCACCATGAGCTTCAAGAGGGGCTGAGATACCTGCAGTGCCTGCTGTGGGCACCTCAGTTAACAAGGAAAACTATTTAACTCTGAACCAGAGCAGATCCCATTGCACTCCAGAAGCCTATCTCTTTCTACTGATGGCCAAGGTCTCCTCATTCTCCTTCTGGTTACTTCCAGAGCTAAGCAAGATGATGAGAACTGACCAAGTCCCCTAAACTTCCTTTCCTTCAAGACTGAATGAAGATGGCAGCCAAACTCTGTGCTGATCTTAAATCAATAGGGTCAAACATGTTTTATTTTTATTTTTAAAATTTTTTGAGGTGCATATACAAGTATGATTGGAAACTAAGTGATGATTTATCTAGCTAAAAGCAACCCGTGTGCCATTTGGGTTGTAAATAGTCAAGGTAAACATGGGGAGAGCAAGGTCTGGCAAGAATTCTGATAGCAATTTGCTAGCTCTGATGGGAAACTATAATGGGGAGGAAGAGATAGTAAGCAGTGAATCAATCCACATAGCTCATTTAAAAATACCTCCTCTTTGTGGCTTCGGTTACAAGAACACTTTGTGGGCAAAAGAAGAAAGGCATTAGTAGTTGTTTGGTTAAACAAGCTATATTCTAATTTCACATTTTATGAAGTCCTGTGAACCTCTGAGCCACAGAATTTCCACCAGTGTGCTGGGGCAGGGGGAGGGAGGGAGAGGGGAACCAATGGGTATTTGAAACTTTAAGCAAGAAGTTGCAATTAAAAGAAGAAGGAGCTTCAGTAACGAGTGCTAGACACCACAGTTAAGCAGT